CGCCATCGCTCCCATCAACCTCACTACCCCCTACCGCACTCCTCCTCCTAACCACGAGCCCGACACCACGCCACTCTCTCCTGACGACCATCGTCTCTATCAGCAGCAGCTCGGCTGCCTCCTGTTCGCCGCCGTCACGTGCCGGCCCGATCTCTCCTACGTCGCTAGCCAGCTCGCACAGTATCTGAAGCGACCTGAAGGGGAGAATCTACTGGATCTACGCCGAGCACTGCAGTATTTCATCTCCACTCCCGACGTCGGCCTCACCTACGAAGCCAACCTCACCGCTACTCTGCAGCTTCATGGCTACGTGGATGCCGATCATGCTGGAGATGTTGATAACAGACGCTCCCGTACAGGATTCATTTTCCAACTCCAACCTGCTGGACTCATCTCTTGGAACTCCCAGAAGCAGGAACTCATCGCTCTTTCGTCAGCTGAAGCAGAATTCATCGCAGCTAGCGCAGCTGTTCGCGAAGGTCTGTACCTGATGGAGCTCCTGCAGGAGGCGAAAGTGACGATGAACAGACACTTCACGTTACTCTGCGACAATCAGAGCGCGATAAAGATCGCGAACAAGCCCGGCTTCGTCAACCGCACCAAGCACATCGGCCTTCGCTACTTCTTCGTGAAGGACGAAATCGACAAGGGGAAAGTCAAGCTGACGTACTGCCCGACCGGTGACATGGCAGCCGACTTCCTGACGAAGAAACTGCCACGTCAGCAGTACCAGCACTGCGCCAACCTCTGTGGGATCACCAAGAAATCCCACGTGGCCCACCTTCAGGAATGAAGGGGAGTGTTGGAATAACCGAAAGGTTATAAAGGCATTCCCGAACAGGGCCTATGTTATCAGGATAATTTATCCTGATTCTCCTGAATTCAGGATAGGTGTCGTGTGCTTCTCCTGAAAAAACAGCATAAGGGAATTACTTGTCCTGTAAAATCAGTATAATGGTTATTTTGCGTACTGGAAACTCAGGATAACGCTGTAGGTTCAGCCCTGACGACTCAGGATAGTATCGAAGCTCGCCCTGAAGCGAGATGTACTGTACAAAAAATCTCTTGGGTTTCGGGGCTTACAAATTTCGGAGCCAGCGGGAATCGAGCAGGCGACCTACAGTTCAACAGTCAATTGCTTTACTCGCTTCGTCACCACACTTGACGTCTCTATCAATATAAGCAAATCCTTTTTAGCTTTAGAACACTTCGCTTTTGCCAGCCAATTTCGCCCACGATGTCCACCGCCGCCATCTGCTTGTACTGTGCTGTAACAGTTTCGCACCCCAGCCACTTGCACTGCCAGCCACTTGCAGCTGCACCCCAGCATTACACACTTCGAATGTGGAGAGCATTTCGATCCCCACTAACATAACACGCGCGAAATATACAAGATTGTACGAAATGTAGCACTGAGCTGCCAGGATACTGTCAAATTTAGCACTGACATTTCAGGATACCTCACCCTGTGCAGCCCTGACAATTCAGGGCAAATTCTGATTTCCTAAAAACTGCCCTGAGGCCTCAGTGTACCCCCAAACGAATCTGAGGCCCTGTTCCCGAAGATGCTCCTCTGTACTAGTACCGCATTAGCTCATATAGAGCACGCGGAATCTCGAGGGTCACCCGAAGGTCAACCGTCTAAAGATAGTCAACGGTCGTGACCCTTGACGATCCAGCAACCACGCGACAGTTAACAGACTGCAACACGGTAACTGTCGAGAATAGCAATAGTCGTGGTTACTGTAGCTATGTAATACAGTTAATAAGGGAATGTACCCCTCAGAGTACATGGCTAGATAGTTTGCTATTTAATCTCTTGTACTCCTACCTTCTAATCATCTTGTTCTCTTTCAACTATTACTCAACAAGGTCACTACAGAGACTTCACTGTCTCCTTTCAGGCTTAACACATTCTATCCTATCCACTGATCCTTTGGTTGTATCAGCAAGGATCAACAACTTGAAAGCAGACATGCATCCAGCATGCCACTGTTGTGTATATGGGGCAAGGAAAGCCACAGGCAAGCTGCAACACAACTGGAGCAGGATCAAATGCTCAGAGTAGTGGAAGCATCATACCCAATACACAAATGATGTGAACAATTCATGAAAGCAAGCCCACTTGCATTACCGTACATCGAATGGGAATGCCCAGCCCACCAGCGAGGAACAGTGAATGGCAGGTGATTACAATGCAACACCCTGAAATGGTTCTCCTCGTTTTAAATGGGGACCAGTGCACGTCCATTCTAACAAACTTGGATTGGAAATGCCTTATCATGCACTAAAACACACAGCTAGGGAATTGCTGTTTGTAAACGACAAGGATGTTGGCCTGTTTTTAACGGCTTGAAATGGATAAAGGATGCGTGCACAAACTCCTCCTCAGGACCACAGCAGCTCATGATATGTTATACGTCCACTGCCTTCTCCTCGTAGAGCATGGAGGGGAGGGAGGGCACGGGAGGGGTCGTTGAGGGGGAGCTAAAGTTGTTTGGGGGGGGAGTGGGGGGGGGGGGGGATTTAGGGAAGGAGCCAGGGTCCCAGCCACGTGCACGGGTATGTAGGGAAGGAACGAGGACGAGCGGGGCAATACCAGACGGGAGGCACAGTTCACAAACACATGAAGGAGGGCACAGAGCACTTGGGCACAAGGAGGGACAGGGAAGAGAGAGGAGGAGGGGACAATTAAAGGGGAAGCAAGCAGCCCATCGCATAAGTAGTGTCAGAATGTTATTATTGTCTAGCCTGTAGTGGGGTGCTCTATAGCGAGTACAACCCAGTTAGGGTTTGCTATATGTACCCCAACTGCTGCTAGTGAAACCCCTCTCCTTTCAATCATTCTTGCCTAGTTTTATTGACAAGTAGAAGTGGGTAGACCGACCTGAAGGAGTTGGGGCCTTAAACAGAGATCCGAGGAAGGGCCATGCATCCACATGGATTCAAGGGGCATCTGATCTGGTATGGTATCACACAAGCGCATTCCACCCTTATACGCAAGGCTGCCACTTCCATGCACAGTAACAGCCATGACCAATGATGGATTCACCTTTCTTGAACGTAGTAAAGTCAGTGTGTCTGCGACTAGTGTTACTTATTGGCAAGGCAAAACGACCAGGAAAACGTCCAGGAAAAGCCGGTATTACAGGAATGTTACAGGCTGTGGCAAGCCGGTACAAGATCCTAGCACTCTAGCAGAAACGCTTGCACTGGTATTTACACCCTAACGAGCTACAACAAGCATTTCCCCCAAACTCGCGATAGTGTATGCTGATAAACACCTAAGAGATGTAGAAAATACTTGGCGCTGGCAGTTCTCGAGGTTGCCAGGAGCGCAGGGAGCACCTAATTGACGATAGTCACCAGGAACGGTACGCATGAACGACAACTGCCTTCTGAAGTTGGAAGAAGAATTTAATCGACGATGGTCCCGAGGGTGCGCATGAACCAGAACAGCTGCCCCTTCATCGACTCGTGCCACGCGGGGCGCTCCTCTTCCATCCGCGCCTCCGCAGCCGGCGGCTTCACCTCCTCCGCCTTGGCGGCCATCGCGCTCTGCGGAGGCGTCTCGGGCGCAGCGCCGTAGCCTTGCGGGAATGTCGCCTTCTCGAGCTGATGCAAAGAGATAAGAAGAAATGCGAGAAAACCGTTGATATTAGCGCCAGCAACCAACATCCTTCATCACCAACACAAACACAGAAAAACAAGTAGGAGGAACAAGAAGCAACAGCATAACTCCCATTATTGAGGCAAGCAGCTGTTAGGGCTTGCGAACGGGATGGCAAGGGAGCGTACCGCGGGGCCTCGGTGGTGCACTCCCGGCCGCCGGTGGCGCTTTGCCGCAGTGATGGCGAGTCTTCGGGGAGGTTGCTCCTGAAAGAGCAGGAAACTCGAGGTGAGATATAATGCCGTGGTGAGAAGAAAGAAATCGTCTCAACGAGCATGCAACGCATTCTGCACGAGACAAGTGATATGTAGAATGCTTACCTGAAGTCTAAGGGAGGGTGTGGCAATGGCGAGATTGGTGTGGGTCAGGACGAGAGCTTGAACCGCAGCCATGATTCAAGAACGCCGGAAATGTTAGACTCGAAAGGACTATCGATTAAACAACGCGAGAGTCGCGGCTGATGTGAGCTATAGAACAGGATGACAGCAAGATTTGCAAAAGGAAGGATTGGAGTAAACTGGACTTGGTTGAGCTCCTGACAATTAAAATATGATGCTGAGCGGGACGCTCAGCTCGATAATGTCCACCAAGAAACGTTGGCTCGGCATTCCCTAAGCTGAGAAGTTGGATAAGTTAGGCTAGGTGCGGTTCGGTCCCCGCTGAAACTACTCCTTGCCAGCGCGACGTGACATGCTGCTCGTTCGTGCAGGGCGCGGGCCGGTGACGTACGCTCGGGAACAACGCAGCAAAGCTAAAGCCTGTCAGGAGCTTGTTTATTATTCGTGGTTCCACCATGAGGCTGACGTTGCAGAATGTTCACGTGTATGTTGGTCCGTTCCACGTCAACAAGCCGTCAGATGGATTTCGGGTGCCACAGATTCACCAGCGCTGCAACGTTGGAGTCTTCGCTGGCGGGATCTTCGAGCGGGTTCGAGGGATTGGACAGCGCATCACGCAACTCCGCCAGCGCAGCAAAAGTTGAAGGAGATTGATCGCACGAGTCTGGCCTGGTCTAGTCGCCTCGCCAACCAAAACCATCAGCAACAATGTTACATAGTTCAAGCGATAGTCTCACATCGCATATCCACTCGCACAAAGTACCCGATCGCATGACGTTTTGTCGCTCACTCCACCAGATCTAATGTTCTTGCATCCCTGCATTTCCAGCGGTGGTGGAGTGTACCAATTCTCAAGTTATGGATTTCGTACTCGCGTTCACCCTTATGCCATGCACTGGCCTAAAACGTCTGGCGCATGCGGCTCGTGGCCAGATCCACGTGCAATAGTTTGTCGACTCGCCATTTGTCACAAGAAGAAACTGGATTAACGCATGCTGAGTGACTCGTACGAATGTTTCCTTGTTGATTCGGGACTACTTCGTGGACTTCTAGTAGGAATCCCTTTTCCCGAGTAGACCCAACACTGTTTCTTTCCTTCATTGCTTTTTCCCAACTTGACGTCCTCGATTTTACGATCTACAATCAATCGGCGCTCCTGACTTTGACATCGTTGATTTTTTTTTTTTTTTTTTCGTGAAAGCTCGTCGCTCCTTCCGCCATGGCGACCGAGGTAGCGGTGGAGGACTTGCGGTCGGCGCGGCCGCGCGAGCAGCGGGCTGTCGGCAAGGTGGAGCAGTACATGACGCGCGACCCGATCTGCTTCCGACGAGACACGCCTCTCGAGGACGCCCTGCGCGTGAGTGCCTCGTCTTGCGCGTGTGCGCGTGTCGCGTTTCGCGTGTATGCGTCGTCTTGCGAGAGTCACTGTGTTGCTTCGTGCGTGATTTCGTTCCCTGGCACTCGTGCGTGTCGTGCCTTGGTGCGGGAGTCATCTTGCGCGTGTGGTGGTAGAACCGTATTCTTTTTCTGTCTATTGACTCCCTTCTTCTTGGTCCGTTTGTCTGTACCTCTCCCTCCCTCCCCCCCCCCCCTTTCTCCCCTTACCCCACTCGCGCCCCACCGCCAGGCGCTAATAGAGCACAAGATCAGTGGCGCGCCGGTGGTGGAGCCGTACGATGGCGACTCGACGGGCAGCGGCAGGCTGGTGGGCGTGATCAGCGAGGAGGACTTGTTATGGAAGGAGGTGGACGCGACCGATAAGGTGCGATGCAGGGGGTGGGAAGGTGGAGGGTTGCAGGGTCCACTCTGTTCCCAGTTCATGATGACGTCAGGCACGAGCCCGCTCGAGACATACCATCCCCCCCTCTCTTTCTCCACGTCCTCTGTTCCCCCCTTGCCCCTTTACCCTTTTGTCCCCTTGCGTTTAATCACCTTCAGGAGCTTGAAACTGCATTCCGCGCGCCCTACCTCTGGTCAATGATGACGTCAGACACGAGCATGCTAGAGACCTATGAGGACCAGGCTCTTAAAGTGCTCTCGCAGACCGTGGGACTAAGCATGAGCGAGCAGTCCATCTCAGTCACTCCCGACACGCCCGTTAAAGACGCCGCTACTATCATGCTCGATGCGAAGATTAAGAGGCTGCCTGTGGTGGCGCCCCGGGAGGGGGGGCGGCCGGGTGTGACTGTAGTGGGTGTGATTTCAAGGAATGATGTTCTGAGGCATGTGCTGAGCGTGCTTACAGAGAGGGGGGGGACAGCGGGGGGAGAGGCGCGTGGAGAGGGGGAGAGGGAGAGGGGACAGGGGAAGGTGGAGACGGGGGCAGGGGAAGCAAGGGGGAAGGGGGGAGGTGGGAAGGCGGAGGGGGGTGAGGGGGGAGGGGGAGGGGGGGGCTGTATCTGGGCTTGGGGTGATAACACCACAGGCGGAGGTGGGGAAGGAGGGGGGCAAAGGAGAGGGTGAAGCTGCTGCTGCTGCTGCTGCTGCTGAGAAGGGTGGTGAGGGGGGTGAGAAGGTGCAGACTGGTTTTGTGAAAGGTGGGGCGTGATGAGAGAGGGGGTGATAGTGGGGAGTGGCAAGCACAGGGCAGTGTCTGGGCCACCATTGGCTTGTTCTCATGCACATGTACTGTCCGCATTCTCGGAGCTAAGGCGGGGAAACTTTTGAGAACTGTTGTAATGAGGCTGTGATTCTGTACCATGTATATAGAAATGTAGCTTGTCATTACTCAGGTCGGAACTTGGCAGGACAAATGGAGACCGGACTTGACTCGCAAACCAAATCTCAGATTGGTGAACACTGCTCGCTCAAAACTTGTAATGGATGGTCATGTATTTCCCGACATTTAATTATTCGTGTGTCCTGCACTTTCCAGGAGCACCTCCCTGTTACGTAGCATCTCTCCACCCCCATGCGGTATACGTATGATGCATACGAGTAGGCGACAAGTATGCCTAGTTAGTGGCTGTGCTTGAAGATTCCAACAAACAAGAAGCTGAGATTGAAGTCTACATAGCGATTCGTGTATGTCTAAACAAGGGTAGCTTTTTTATAACATGCACTTTTATTTCATGCAATTTTAACACTGGCAAGGAAAACAAGCATCAATCACATCACAGCTCACTCCACAGGCTGTGGAAAATACAGACCAACACAAACCTACGCTACTATTCACGAACACACACTTCTTCCTCCCTCTCTCGCCAGTCACCACACTCCAACTCCACCCCCCCCTATTCCTGTCTTGGACTCTCCCCACTGCTGCTGCTCTGGGACTGCAGATGTTACCGCTCACCACCACCTCATATCCACACCATATCGCATGTTACCGCAGATTTTCACCGCTCTACCTGAGCGCCTTCTGCAGCTGCTGCTCCGTGATTTTAGGCCCGGCTGCCAGCACCTCGTCAGGGATGCGCGTGGTCTCGCCGCCCATCTCGAACTCAACGAACTTGCCAAAGTTCTTCACAAACAGCGCTCCCAGCTTCTCCAGGGTCTGCTGGTACTTGGCCTTGTCGGGCCACTGTGCGGGTTGAGGGTAATGGGGGGGTGGGGGAGAAGGACACAAAGGAAAAGGTGTGAGAGTGAGTTATTGAGGCGAGTCTCACAAACAGCGCGCCAAGCTTCTCCAGGGTCTGCTGGTACTTGGCCTCGTCAGGCCACTGATTTTAAAAAAGTGGGAGGGGGGGAAAAGAGGGGCGGGAGCACAGGGGGAAGAGAGGGGAAAAGAGCACAGGGGCGGGAGCACAGGGGGAAGAGAGGGGAAACGAGCAGAGGGGCGGGAGCACAGGGGGAAGAGAGGGGAAACGAGCAGAGGGGCGGGAGCACAGCTCTGAACGACTGGAGGGGGCAAACCTAAAGAAAAACCTAGAAAGGGAGTCTAAAAAGGGGATCCTACAAGGGGAGACCAGCGAGGGAACCCCAGGGGAAGAAGGCCCGTCCAGCCATTGTCACTCACCAGGGTCTCAGGCTGAAGCACTTCAGTGGGCACGCCGTTGCACTTGGTAGGCACTTGCAGGCCAAACACGGGCGTCGTCACATACTCCTCCTTCAGCAGCGACCCATCATGAATCGCGTCAATGATCGCGCGCGTGCTCTTGATGCTCATCCTGCTCCCCACTCCGTAGCTCCCGCCCGTCCACCCGGTGTTGACAAGCCACGCCGTGGTCCCGTGCTTCTTCATGCGCTCCGCCAGCAGCGACGCGTACTTGTACGGATGCCACATCAGGAACGCCGCGCCGAAGCACGCGGAGAAGGTCGCCTCGGGCTCCGTGACCCCCATCTCGGTACCGGCGACCTTGGCGGTGTAACCCGAGATGAAATGGTACATGGCCTGCTCGAGCGTCAGCCGGCTGACGGGCGGCAGCACGCCGAACGCGTCGCACGTGAGCAGAATCACGTTCGTCGCGTGGCCCGCCGTGCACGGAATCTTCGCGTTGGGAATATACTCGATGGGGTACGACGCGCGCGTATTCTCCGTGATGCTGTTGTCGTCATAGTCAACCACGCGGGTGTGCGCGTCGAAGACGACGTTCTCCAGCACCGCTCCGAACCGGATTGCGTTGTAAATGTCGGGCTCCTTCTCGCGGCTGAGGTTGATGCACTTGGCGTAGCAGCCGCCCTCGATGTTGGCCACGCCGTCGTCGCTCCACGTGTGCTCGTCGTCGCCGATCAGCAAGCGGTGCGGATCGGTGGAGAGGGTTGTCTTGCCCGTGCCTGACAGGCCGAAGAAGAGCGAGACGTCCCCGTCCTTGCCCATATTGGCGCCGGAGTGAAGGGACAGCACGCCCTGAGGGGTGGGGAAGAGGGGTGGAACGGAGGGGGAAGTGGAGGGAAAGGAGGATTGTGAGCAGATGGAAAACGAAGAAGAGCGAGACGTCCCCGTCCTTGCCCATATTGGCACCGGAGTGAAGTGACAGCACGCCCTAAGGTGTGAGGGAGAGGGGTGGAACGGAGGGGGAAGCGGAGAGAAACAAGGATCGTGAGCAGATGGAAGACGAAGAAGAGAGAGACGTCGCCGTCCTTGCCCATGTTGGCACCGGAGTGAAGTGACAGCACACCCTGAGGTGTGAGGGAGGGGGGGAGTAAGGGTGAGGGAGAAGGAGAGAGAGGAGGATTTGGAGATGGAAACAAGAGGTAGGGTGTGAGAGAGATAGACGTCGCCATCCTCGTTGGCGCCCGAATGCAGCAAGAGCACGCCGTGAACGTGGAGGAATGGGGGTTGAGAGCGGGAGGGGCTTGGTGTAAGAGAGCATGGGAATGGGCGTGACTGAAATGCCGACTCGAGTGCGGTTGGATACGTCTTAGAGTGACTTCTTGGAATACATGCTTTCCCCAAGTGCAGTAAGGAGCTTCTTTTTGTTTTTTCGTTCTTGTTATTTTTTCAATACCCAAGGAGCACACCTGCTGGTTGAGTCACAAACAAGCACGACACCAGCTTCTTTCATGTCCACGCTCGTCGTGCTCTGCGCCCATCTGTTTCTCCTCTTTCAGTAAGCCCACTTCACGGGAAACCTACCTGCTTGGGCATGAGATAGGGAGAACAGTCCCTTCTTCATCTCGCCGGCGTATTCAGTCTCCAGGATGACCATCTCCATGCGGTTGAGGTCCATGTCCACGCTCGTGTGCTGCTAGTGCTATGCGCTTACACACACCTTTCAACCACTGCACACCACAGCACACCACTAGCAACCGACCTACTTGGGCATGAGGTAGTTCATGAGCGAGAACAGTCCCTTCTTCATCTCCCCGGCGTATTCAGTCCCCAGGATGACCATCTCCATGCGGTTGAGGTCCATGTCCACGCTCGTGAGCTGCTAGTGCTATGCGCTTACACACACCTTTCAACCACTGCACACCACAGCGCACCACTAGCAACCGACCTGCTTGGGCATGAGGTAGTTCATGAGCGAGAACAGTCCCTTCTTCATCTCCCCGGCGTACTCCGTCCCCAGGATGACCATCTCCATGCGGTTGAGGTCCATGTCCACGCTCGTCGTGCTCGTCATGAACTTGCTCAGGCGGTTCACGGGGAAGTGCCCCGCGTTGTAGATGGTGAACACCGGCTCGCCGAAGTTGTCGAGTTGCTCCTGGGTGGGGCGAATGCACCTGTGGAGGAGGAGAGAGGAACGTGTGAGTGGGGTGAGAAAGGAGGGGAGGGTGTGTTGAAGGGAAAGGAGTGACAGCTGCGACCAGCTGAAAGCGGAAGTTGTGTTTGGAAGAGGCGTTCGCGAACGATGAGCAGAATCGTGGTCCTCATTGTTAGTTACCACATGCAGCAAACAACTACACAGTCACAGGTAGCGTATGGAACTCACATGTTGTGCATGAAGAGCGCGTGGTAGGCACGTGCGTAGCATACGATGCGCACTTTGATCTGCAGCTTCGGGTCCCACCCCAGCAGCATGTCCTGCACGTACACCTGCAGCCACGTTGCAGCACGGGATTGGATCACAGGACACGAGAAGGTGAGGGGGAACGGTGAACCACAAGTCAGTAGCAGGTGAGCAGATAGCTTGGCACATGTGACTCTGGTATGAAGGAAACAACGTTATTGTGTGTCCGAAGCAGCATTATCTGCTCTAACACTCACTTCTGGACCGCACCCCGGCCTCGTGAGGGTGTGTATTGAGTATGCTTTTAAGATGATCACGGCCTTATAACGGGGACAACGCACCTTGCCGACGGTGTTGAGGTAATCGATGGCTCGTTCGCGGTTCACCATAAACGTGTACTCGTCCATCTCGTAGTTGGGCGATCCTCTGCCCGCGCTCGCACGCAAACACACACAGAGACAAGAACACAGCACGCACACAAAAAGGACACGACACAGAATGTAAGACACCCAAAGATTCAACGCATAAATGAAAAAAACACAGTTGAGCTGATATGAGGGGAACGCCCGAGCAGGAGTCGCCCGAAACCCGAATTCGGGGATCGTGTCCACACCAAGCCCTAAACCCCGAACCTCCCGCGACAGGTACTCACTTGCCCCACCAGAGATCCTCGGCGTGGGCGCGCTCCTTGACGACGCGCTTGTCCTTGGGCGAGCGGCCCGTCTTCTGCCCCGACAGCGTCGCCAGCGCGCCCGTCGAAACGATGAAGTTACCCTCCTCCTGCGCTATCGCCTGCTCGTACAGCTCTGCGCGAGAAAAAGGACGGTAAAAGCAGGAGCGTCGGGTTAGCACACGGTGACAGGCGCGAACTGCAGCACAGAGAGAGACGGGAGCCATCATGGCGAAAGAGAAGGAGCGGCAAGGGACTTACCAGCGACGGAGAGGTTGCGCAGGACCTCGTGCGGCTTGAGCTTGGCGACGAAAATGTCGTCGGGCGCGAAATCGGGGACGTTCATGACCTTTTGCAGCGCGTCGCCCGCTCGTGTGGACTCGCGCGGCTGGTTGGTCGGGTCGAAGGCCTGCGAGGACAAGAGGAGAGGAGAGCGCCACATGGAGACGGCATAACTTGGTTTGCATGCGACTTGAGTCAAGTGTCAATAGGTCAGGTCGAAATTCGGCCGGAGGCAGAGAGGGACAGAAAAAAGAACAGGTA